AGAAATTTTGGATTCCAAGATGGCAGCTAGAGGGAGGAAGCAGAAAGCATGCCTCCTATAGTGAAATCTTGGAGAGACTCTGGAGACACACCTGGCAGGCAAAACCACCCAGAAGAGGCAAAACTTTGACCCCTCCACACCTCCAGCCGGCACAGAGAATCTCCACTTCACGTTAAAAGGAAAACCAGGAGGGCCCCCGGGCCGCCAGTCGCCCGTGCCCAGACGGCTTGGGAAGATGTGGACAACGTAAGCTTAGCGGTATCACAGTACTCCCACAGACAACCCTGGGCCAGATCAGCATAGCCCCCTGGACAGACTGACCATCACCTGGGGAAAAAAGGGAAACTGAGTAATAAGCAATAAGAACAATAAAGACATGCGGGAAGATTGGGAGAAGGGAATCCTTCCCGGAACTGTAAATAAACAAGCCAAGCGGGCCGGAGAGAGGCTTGGGCGGGAGTGGGGACGCACGCCCAGCAACCAGGAGAGGGAAAGCTTGTGAGAGTGGCGGAGGGAGGAAAACTCCACAGGAGATGGGGAAGACCCACTTCCCACGTGAACTGTAAATAAACTCTCCAGCCTGAGAAAGAGGGTGCAGTGTCACCTCCCCCAGTGTGCTTGGAAAGGGGAAAGCTTGTAACAGAGGCTCGCGCACAGGAGAACTCTGAGTGAACAAAGCATGCGGGGCCAGGTGAGTGTTAAGATCACTCCTGAGGTCTGCATAAATAATGCCTCCAGCAACAGCAGGCTGACAGCAGCAGGCAGGCAAGCCACAGCTGCAGATACCATTCACAGAACTGTCTCCAGACTTTTTTTTTCCCTTTCTCCCGACCTTTGATGAGAAAACAACCGAACTGCACCTGCATGCTGAAAAACTTACTGAAACTGTATTGCATTTGAACTTGGGACACTTTGTGGGTTTGTGTGTGTGTGTGTGTGTGTGCAGTTTTGTTCTACTTTATGTGTCCCCTTTGATGAGACAACTACAGAACAACATCTGAGGCACCATCTCCAGGATTGGAGACTGAGACGGACACCAAAATTATTAAGACTGAAACATCATTGCATTTGAACTTGGAAGTTTTATTTTTTTAATTTTCTATTTTTCATTTTGTTTTATTTATATATATATATATTTCTTACATTTACTTATTTTTTATTATTATTCTTATCCTTATTTTTATTTTTTATTTTCAATCTTCTCTCTCTCTCTAATGTCTGTTCAGCTTACTGTTAGTACACTAATGCTCCCTGTTTACACCTTTGAAACTTTCTTGTTTGAGTCCTTGTATTGTTTTCTCCTACTTGTGTGTTTATTTGTTTTTCCCTTTTCTTTAACTTCTTGCTTTCCATCTCCACTCACCCTTCCATTCTAAATATTACCATTGTTATTATTACAAGCCAGAAAATACTTAATTGCACACAGTACAGGGACAGTAACAACACCAAGGACAATGATGGTAAGACAGAAAAAACAGGGAAACCAGTTTCCCCACAGCAAAAAATTAGTATAGGAACCAGAGGGGAATGAAGAAAACAGATACTCAGATCCAGACTCCAACAAAATGAAGATAAACTATGCCAAAAAATCCAATGAAGCCAACAAGAATAATTTAAAAGAAGACATACTACAGGTACTCTGAGAATTTTATAGAGATGATACTGGATAGGTCAACCAAAAAGTACAGGAGACACTCAAGAAATTCCAAGACAACAAAAATGGAGAATTTGAAAAAGCAAAAGAAGAAATAAAGGAAACCATAGAAGCATTGTATAAACACCAAAATGAAACAGAGAACACGATTAATAAACAGATAAATGAACTCAGGACAAAAATAGATAACATTAAAGAGGAAACCACCCAGGATATGGAGAACCTCAGAAAAAAGAATGAAACAGAACTACAAAACAAAACAGAAGGCCAATCCAGCAGAATAGAACAAACAGAAGACAGAATCTCAGAACTGAACTAGATCCATGTATATCACCAATACCAATATTAACTCAAAATGGATCAAGGACCTTAATATCAGACCACAAACTCTAAAGTTGATACAGGAAAGAGTAGGAAATACTCTCGAGTTAGTAAGTATAGGTAAGAACTTTCTCAATGAAACCCCAGCAGAACAGCAACTAAGAGATAGCATAGATAAATGGGACTCATAAAACTAAAAAGCTTCTGTTCATCAAAAGAAATGGTCTCTTACCTGAAGAGAACACCCACAGAGTGGGAGAAAATATTTGCCAGCTACACATCGACAAAGGACTGATAACCAGAATATATAAGGAACTTAAAAAACTAAATTCTCCCAAAACTAATGAACCAATAAAGAAATGGGCAAGTGAACTAAACAGAACTTTCTCGAAAGAAGAAATTCAAATAGCCAAAAAGCACATGAAAAAATGCTCACCATCTCTAGTAATAAAGGAAATGCAAATTAAAACCACACTAAGATTCCACCTCACCCCTGTTAGAATAGCCATCATTAGCAAAACCACTAACAACAGGTGTTGGTGAGGATGCAGGGAAAAAGGAACCCTCTTACACTGTTGGTGGGATTGTAAACTAGTACAACCACTCTGGAAAAAAATTTGGAGGCTACTTAAAAAGCTAAACATTTATCTACCATTTGATCCAGCAATATCACTCTTGGGGATATACCCAAAAGACTGTGACACAGGTTACTCCAGAGGCACCTGTGCACCCATGTTTATTGCGACACTATTCACAATAGCCAAGTTATGGAAACAGCCAAGGTGCCCCACCACTGACGAATGGATTAAGAAAATGTGGTATCTATACACAATGTAATTTTATGCAGCCATGAAGAAGGAAATGTTATCATTCGTTGGTAAATGGATGGAGTTGGAGAACATCATTCTGAGTGAGGTTAGCCTGACCCAAAAGACCAAAAATCATATGTTCTCCCTCATATGCGGACATTAGATCAAGGGCAAACACAACAAGGGGATTGGACTTTGAGCACATGATAAAAGCGAGAGCACACAAGGGAGGGTGAGGATAAGTAAGAAACCTAAAACATTAGCTAGCATTTGTTGCCCTTAATGCAGAGAAACTAAAGCAGATACCTTAAAAGCAACTGAGGCCAATAGGAAAAGGGGACCAGGAACTAGAGAAAAGGTTAGATAAAAAAGAATTAACCTAGAAGGTAACACACACGCATAGGAAATTAATGTGAGTCAACTTATCCTTATCTGAACCAGCAAAAACCCTTGTTCCTTCCTATTATGGCTTATACTCTCTCTACAACAAAATTAGAAATAAGGGCAAAATAGTTTCTGCTGGGTATTGAGGGGGTGGGGGGAAGAGAGAGGGGGCGGAGTGGGTGGTAAGGGTTGGGGGGGGCAGGGGGGAGAAGTGACCCAAGCCTTGTATGCACATATGAATAAAAAAAAAAGTACAGTACTCTTTAAAGAATTTATAATGTAATATATTAATACCATGTACAAGTAGGAAAATGATACTTACACAACCAAAAATGAAGATGTTTCTGAAGTAAGGACACATACACATATTGGCACAGAGACATAGAGCTTTTCACTTCAATTTCACAATATTCAGGCATGGGTCAGGAATAAACACAGAAACAGTAAAAACTGGTACAGATATCAAATAGCTCTCTTCCAGACAGCATGAAATTCTTCTTTGGATTGAACTTAAAAATAGGCAAACAAAAGACCAAAATAACAGATACTGTGTTTTCTCACACACAACAAAGAACAGATCCCTTCAAACTATTAATCTAGTAAAAGAAATATCCAAATATCCAAATGATCAGACCATAAAACAAATTCTCACAATATGATCAAGCAAATTTGTATTTAGTATACACACAAAAGAACTGAAGACATATATTCACATGAAAACTTGCACATGAATGCTCATAGCAGCATTTTTTATAATAGCCAAAAAAGAGAAATAAGAAATGCCCATGAACTGATGAATGGATAAACAAAATCAGAAGTATGCATGTAATGCACTATTTTATAGCCATAAAATGAATGAAGTCCCAACATTCACTGTGATGTGGCTGAATCACAAAAACATTATGCTAAAGTGAACAAAACCAGATGCCAAAGGCCATATATTGTATGACCTCATTCATATGAAAAATGTCTAGAATAGGAAAACCCACAGAAACAGAAGGAGATTAATTTTTGCCAAGGGTCAATTAATATATAATAATTTTGAAAATGCTATTCACATAGGAGAGCCAAAAGAGACAAGCTTGGGCTTTAAACATGCATACACAATGTTTAAATATGCAATACACTTCTGTCAGTGAAGCTTACACAACTCTAGTAGGTGAATCAAAATAGGTAGAAAAAATTATCAAAAACTGTAAAATCACGACACTCAAACTGGCATGAACATATGTTAAAATATTTATCAGATAAATATCTGGCATAGGTGAAATAAACTAGCAAATATTATGACCAGTTCAAAGGGGAATCAAAGAATAGAAACAAGAATATTAATCAGGAGCATTGAGATAAATATGTAAATAGAGGCAAAATTGGTTTGATTTCTATGTGAAAGGACAATTGAACCTCTAGTGGAAGTTGTGCCTGTCTATCATTGACCTACAACTTACAAATGTATGTAAAAGATCTGAGACAATGTAAGACTAGAGTCAGACAGATAACCTGGAGTTGCATCCTACAAAGAAAATGTTTTAATTGAGACACAGATTTTGCTAGAATGCTAAAGTCAAGTACAAAGTTAGTGTTTCTTCAGAATCAGGGTCCAGTCATTTGTGTAACCAGCTTACTGTGGCAGACATTTCTAGACCTAAGTCTGATCAGAGCCCAGTGAACACAGATGACATCACAAAGTCTAGGTTGTTACAAAGGCAGCTCCTGACCAATGAGGAGCACAGGGAAACAAGCGGGAGGGGATATAAGCCCTGGGATTTTGAGAGGCCCAGGCCAGAAAAGAAAACAACCTGAGCCAACTAGAGCAAAACTCAGCAACCACTATGGCTGGCAAAAAACTCAGCTCGAAATCCACTAAGCCTAAGAAGCAGCCCATATCGCGCTCCACAAGAGCCGAATTACAGTTCCCCGTTAGCCGTGTGGACCGCTTTCTTCGACAGGGTGATTACGCCCAGAGGCTGAGCTCATCTACCCCCGTGTTCCTGGCTGCCATTCTGGAGTATCTGACCGCTAACATCCTGGAGCTGGCTGGCAATGAGGCCCACAGCCAGGGCAGAAGGCGCATCACTCCGGAACACGTGGAGACCGTGGTTGAGAACAACCAACATCTCCATCACTTATTTCAAGAGGATGCCAAATCTTCAGATGGTGAGGTTCCCGAACCCGAGAAGAAGCAATGATGCCTGGGTCTCAGCTGGTGGGATCTCTTCAACAACCTCATGCAGCCCCCCAAATGGCCATAGGTTGGGCAACCCATCAACTATCTTATTAAACTGTTTAAACCAATGCCAGTGGTCTGACTCCTCTCAGTTCGGCATTTTGAGTGGGAGGTGTCCATGGGACATCCAGAAGAAGGGTTGGAGGGGTGGAAGTGTGGTCACTCTGGGGCTTTTGAATCAGTGATTTCAGGGGAGTAGTTTCCAAAGGGACAGTGTGGGCAGTGGCCCTGGTGGATGTAGGCTGCTGAGGTACAGGGCAGAAAAGGTGTCCTCATGGGCTCTGGCCATGGGAGGCCAGAAAGATGGCTGGGGACCTCCAGGCATGTTGTATTCCCAGGGTGATGCTGGCAACTGGGGAGGCACTGAAGACCATGACTGTGGTGGTAAAGGCTTTATTCATAGCAGGGAAGGTCTCAGGTCAGAAGGCAATGGCAGTGGGTGTGGGAGAGAAGGTGGCACACTGTGGACATAAACTCAGTGGGACAGGGGTGTTCATATGAAGATTAAGGAGTGATGGTGATACCATAAGGAAATGTACAAAAACCCAATTATGGTCAGTTTGACAAGGTACATGTGATCCTTATGAGCACTCACAGGTGCTGCTTTAAGTTAGAAATAAGATTCATATCAAGTGTTGCAGCATCTGCCCCTCACCTGTGAGTGTTCACATTTGAGGTTTTCACTGTTCATTCGGCCCCTGAGTGCCACAGTCTGCTGCCTGCTGCCCTTTCACAGAGGGTGGCTCAGAGGCTGCCCAGTTGGCTTCCACAGTAGAATCAGAGGATCTGGGTTTCAGATCCCAGTGCACCACTTCTCTAGCCAGGTGGCCTTCGACATTCATGTTTCTTCTCATCAGAGGTTTCCTCATGCTCAAGATGAGGGAGAAGAGTCTCTCCATCTTTAGTTTTCCCAAATATAAGTCTACCCGTTCCTGTAAACTGCTGCTTCACACAGCACAGGCCCAGGGTAGCCCTTAATAAACAGCTGCATCTGTTTCTTGTTCTAGCCACACATGCTCAGGTGTGCCTTCCCATGGTGCAGCTGGGCCTGGTGCCCAGGTCACTACTGGGCACTGGGGTCACTGGCTGTGACAACAACCCTCTGCTTCTACTTGTTTAGAGATGGGAGAGTGCCAAGCAGAGAAAGGAGCCAAGAGGCAATGGATATGGCAAGTAGGCCACACTCCAGTCTCCTCTCTGCTTCTTCCTGGTCACTCACCCTCTCTCTGCGTCTGTGGAAAAAAGGATTTGGCTTGGCCTTTGGCTAAATCACAGGAATGGCCTGAGAATGAAGGTAATAGCGCTCTTTGGAAGATATACTTGCAATAGTCCAAGAAGACTTTCTTGACACATAATGCCCACTGAACCTTATATTAATAGAAATCTGATTGCCAAGATGTCCACCCCGCAGATTTGTGGTTTCTTGTAGAACCATGTAGCACTCCTTGACCAAGCTCACTACTTTCTCCTCTGCTTATTCAAGTAGCAAGCTGGCCTTTCCCCAGGAGCTATAAGTGGAGGGTCTCCCTCAGCTGATCACATGATTGGGACACATCCATTCCTCCCTTCACTGTGGTTTATTATCTCTCTGTCCAAGGCCTGAGTTTCTCTTAGCCCAGTGTCCTTCAGTGAAATGTGAGTGCTTCTAGGGAATTAGTCATTTTACTCAGACCTGGACATGTTGGTTAAACAGCTGTCTGATATTTAAAAGCTTCATATTTGGCTTGTGGCTGTGGGTTATTGTAGCCCAAAACACAGCCCCCTGAGTACTTCACAGGACATCATTACAGAAGAATTTATTCATGGAGGGAAAAGCCACAGTAGGTGGGTTAAACATATTGGCTGGGCAGTTCTGTGTGGTCAGGCAATCACCTTACAGTCCATGCAAAAGTGACATCAATGCTCACTGTGACTGGAGGCAGCCAGGGTTCCCAGGCTCTCTCAGCTCTCTCTGTTTGATATCTGGCATGCAGTTTGGAGGCTGAGCTTACAAGAGTCCCTGCTGGTAAGGCCTCTGAAGAGTCAAGGGGCTTGAGAGCATCATCAGGGACACCGCCCTCCCTTTGTGCATTGTGCTCAGCTGTGCTTGTGGGTTTCACAGGACACACAGGGGCCACAGCAACATAGCATCAGCCTAACCCAGCACCCTTCTAAATGTCCCACATGTGGAAGGAATTTTACACTCAAGAAAAGAATGGGAGAAGAGTGAGAATCACTGCCCTTGGGAAGGCATGAGTCCACTCAAGTATAAGCCTATTTATACTTTTCTGAAAAGCAGGAAGGCAATATGGTGAGGAAGGATTTATTTAGCTTGGGTCCCATGAAGAGGACACTATTGGCAACCAGTGTACTGCTGGGAGAAGGAAACCTAAAACTTGAGTAAGCAAGGAAATGCTGACAACCAGATCTGTGATCAATCTGTGTCAGGGTCTGACATGGGTTAACAAGTCATAAGGTATCACTGATGAAAATAGATATGCCCAGGAGTCAAACCTGGTGGGAACTTAGAACGCCATTGGTGTGGTGTTGGCATGAACACAATGTCTAGGAACAAGACTGTCCTCATACCTAAAGCATCCTTTGATAGCAAAGGTTTTACAACAGCCCAGGACCTTTAGTCCCAGTATGTGACAGATCCTATAGGATGTGGTCAGAGACTGAAACAGTCTGGCACTTTATAAAGGACCTTAGTTACTCCCAAAGTAGGATTTTAGAAAGAGAAGTCATTCCTCTAAATTTAAAGACATTAGTTCCAAATGCACATATTATACAGTGTCAGCTCACATACCTAATTTGGACAGCAGATAAGTTTCCTAGTCCTAAACAGTAATTTTAAAAGTAAATTAATAGCTGCTGATGTTTAAAAATTATGGACTTTTACTTGACTATCTGGATTTCCTTTTTGCTCTTGAGAAGTCAAAATATCTGGGCATAAATTTGGTTGCAGATAGCTAAAGATGACAAGGTGATGTCCCATTAGGACATTCATCTCTGGTTTGCCACAGTCCTCTATTAAGTTTCATGTCTGGTTCCACTTCACTCATTTATTATATAAAAAAGGGCTTACTGTACCTGCTAGTTAACAAAAAGCTAGGGACCATAGTTGTAATAGAACTGGGATAATGAATTTGTTTTTGTTATTTTAGGAGTATGGTTTAAATCTAAGGCAAGAAAGTGAATGAGACCTGCATTTGGCATTATTTTGATGTTTATTCTTCAAAGACCTTTACAAAATGTAAAGATTTATTTCTTTATACAGTTATGGATTTTATAGTAACATTGAGGGAAAATATCTCTAAACTTTTACTTTAAAGTAAAATCTATTAAAACAAACCAGTTAGTGGCATGGAGACAGGTTAGATGATGCAATTAATTAGACATTTGAATTCTGAAATGTAGAATGAAAGGAATTCATGAATTCAGCTATAGAGGGGAGTCTGCTTGACACAAACAGTTAAAAGGGTGAAAGGAGAGGAAGGAGAAATTCTGGTCTCTCACAGTGTTGTTTATATGGGGGTCAGCATTCATAACTGTAAAGTTTAGGAAGTTAGAAAAATTATTTTAAAGTTCTACTCAAGCTGTATAATTATCAGACTATGATCTTTTTCTAGGAAAAAATTCTACTGAAAGTAAGCAAATAGGGTAAAGGGAATAGGAATTATTTTACTTTATTTTATTTCTTTTATTCATATGTGCATACAATGTTTGAGTCATTTCTCCCCCCTCCCTTCCCCCCACCCCCTCCCTTTTCCCTGCCCCCTCCCTCTCCCCCCTACCCCCTCCCCTCACTTCCGAGCAGA